TACTGATGCCACCATTTTTACTAAAAAAAAAAAAAAAAAAAAAAAAGAAGAAAACTAATGTTAGTGATAAATTTCAACAGTAATGTTAGTGATAAATTTCAGTAGCATTGTTAATGGTAAGTTCCGGTAATGTTAGCGACAAGTTTCGATGATGTTAATGATAAGTTTCGGTTGATGTTAGTGATAAGTTCCAAATCAGTATTAGTACTAAACGATAGGGTTGTATGAAATGAAGAAATTTGCAGCGCGGAATGAAGGTTGCAATATTTTGCACTAAAATAAACCTCAACATAATATTAAAACGAAAAAAAATTAAATTAAATGAAGAGTGATGTAGTATTCTTATCGATTTCAAATTTTGAACTGAATTAAGAAGCTAAATTTTAGCATTAAAATTGAGGTAGATGTAATAGTAAAGCATTTAAATTGGTATTTGAAATCGATAAGTACATGAAATCTATTACACACATTAGTATAATTATCATGTTTATCTAAGAAAGAAAAACCTTTTTCCTGGATGAAAGTTAAATTATATCAAAAATTATGACTTAGTTTATTGGCACAAAAATTTAATTTATATAATAAATTCATTGTTAGCTCATATTTCAAGCCTACATTTCACTGTGTTTCAAGTTTTGAATTAATTTAAGGGATTCAATTATCGAATTACATTCAATATTATCCATTAATAAGTCATTCTCTTGATTGACGAGCTATTGTGTAGAAATTTGGCGGATAATATGCTTCACCTTCAAATACCCATGGTTTTTGCTGTGGCATCTAGAAAGAATATGTATATAAATATATAATTTATTTTTTATTCATGAAAAAAATTCAACCAATTAATTATTAGTCATTTAATTAATAATTTTCTAGGATGCTAATTTTCATTTCTATCAACCACTACTATTGCATCATTTTATCTTTTTGTAATTATCATTGTAATGATTAAATCGTTATCAATTAATACACCGGTTAGCATTGTTGTCTATCTTTTATGATTTTAAGAAGTTGATGTTTAGCTGTATCATTTTTAAAATTAATTTTTTACTTAAAAGGAAAAACAAAAACAATCAAGAACTCTCAGAATTAAATCGTAATGTTAAAATTTCGATGCAAACAGGATGGATTATAATGTACGGTATTACTTTCGGATATTATTGATAACATCATCTAATCAATATTTTCAAGTATACATTAATTTCCATTGATGTGCATTTTCCGTGTTTTTACAAAATGATGAAAAACATATGTGATTTAAAAACAAAAAATTGATTCAATTAGTTGGAATGCAAAAAAAAAAAAGGTATCAAAGTATAAATGTAATGTAGAAAATAAACATCTTTCTTCTTAAATTGAAATTGTAGCATATCACATGAAAAAGAAAAATAGATGTTTAATTTAAAATATTTCGAATAATAAAACAATCAAACCTGTTGTTTATCAAATGGACCCCATTCTGGTCCAGTTTCATTTGATTTATCAAAATTTTCCCGAACTTGCTACAAACATTCAAAGTCAAGATTAATGTTTTTGGGTAACTATTATATGCTAGATGATATACTAATACTGTTTTGATAACATTTACACAGAAAATACTGATAAAAAAACGAATTTAGAGTAAAATGTGTTACTTTAGCTTCATCCGATGATACGGTTGATTTTTCAGGAATAGCTGTTGCTGCTGATGAAATTGTTGAAGGTTGTTGTGATGGAGGATGAGATGGCAGCGGTGAAGGTGATGAGAGCTAAAGAAAAGAAAAGAGAAATTTATGATGAATGAAATTCGAAAAGAATCTAAATTCATGGTATTGGTGTAGTTCAAAGGTTAAGGTAGAAGTTTTAAGATATTCATCCGATCGAGCCATTTTGGTATTGCTTTGATACTATTTCAAAAAAATATTGAATTTAAAGCAAAACATGGAAATTACATTGATATCAATCGCTGATTCAGTTGATATTGTTGGAATAGCTGTTTTTGTTGCTAAAACTGATGAAGGTTGAGATGGTGGAAGCGATGTTGGCAATGATAGAGGAGTACGAAGTGATGCTACTTTTTTGAAATTAACTTCTCTCTCTTCAATGACAATTCTTTCTCTAGTAACTTTCTCACTTATCTTTGCCTGTAAAAAGACATTATTGAAAGGTTACAAAGAAATTGTTGTGATTTTTATTACAGTTAATTGCAAAGAATTATAATTTGAAAAGTAATCTAATTACAAATTTCTAATAATAATTGACTTAGAGAAGGAATATTGAAATTTTATCAATAATTGACACCGAAATAGATGGAATGAAAAGGAAAAAAAGGAATTCAGAAAAATAATCCAATTAAAAAATAAAAAACAAACTTAATAGTAAATTTTGAGAGTTCATTCATAATAATGATATCTTTTTATGTTAATAAAATGATAATGAATAAAAGTAAAAGATTTTTATTTCCAATCAGTATTTCAATTTCAAAGAAGTACTATCAATGAGCTAAAGCATACCTCCTTTTTATTTCTAACTTTCGTAAACTTTCTTCGTTCTTGCTCTGACTTTACTTTTTCTAATTGTTGCCAAAAAAGCCATATGAGTAAAGTAGTAATTGTACATAAAACAAGATCTAATTCACCCATCTCATTCCAATACAACCGTTCCTTACCAATTGATAGAAAAGTCAATGACTTTAGATGAAAACCTGGAAGAATATTTAAATTACTTCCTTCATTTTCTGATTCTTCCCTCATTTCTTGATCTATTCTATCCAATAAGGATTCTATGAGACAGTTATCATTTAGAAAGTCTAACAAGAAAAAAAAAAAAAAAACCAACCTCGTCAAACTTCACGAAGACTTTGCACCACAATTTAATGCTTGAATTGAATTGAAAGTAACTTTTAATTTTATTTTATGGTTTTAAATCAAATTCAAGTCATCACTCAAGTCAAGAAATTTAGAATTATTGAAAAATTAATAAAGATGTACACAGGAAGCATCTGTTTATCTTTATTTAAGAGAAAAACACATTCATGAACGTATGCTAACATAGCCATTCGATAATTCGTATTGAAAAAAAAAGAAATGCGCAATTTTTGCTAGTACGAAGTTAATATTTGAAATTATACTGTTATTATTCGGTCATACCAATGGAAAATTTTGCCAAACATGATCATACGCAGTGCTTCTTCAAAGTGATTTCAGAAGAAAATATGGGAGAATTTAAATTATAGTATTAATTCTAATTCGCCGGAATAGATGCTAAAAAAATTTAGAATCGAAAAAAAAATTTAGAATTCCGTTCAAACAAAGATATCCAGTTTATTTTTCAAAAATCATGGAGAAGTGAAGCCAAACTACTATTGTTAATGCTAGTAATTAGAGTACAGAAACATGGAATTAAATCTCAATTCCCTGTACAGTAAATTATTAGGAATTTAAGATTATTCAGGATAACTTAATAATTGGAAAAAACCTGATTTAAAAGATTAAGAAAAGATATGGAGAACTAAATTTTAAATTTACATATAAAGACGACTTCGAATTACAACAGCTACAAGCAATGATAAAGGTGATGACATCTTCACCCTATAAAAAAATTAATTTGTTAATCACTATCACTTTAATTTTTTCATCAGTGCAGTACCAACTGAAGAAATCAACATCGAAAACAATATGAAGTTGCACGAGATCGAACAAGAAAGAAGAATTCATCGAGTATTAATCTTTAAAATTATTTCCCACTCGTTTCGAGCTTTATTTTTGGCGGTTTGAATGCTGTTCCTTTGAGTGATTTGCCTTCATATTCTTTCTTTGCTTTTTTTGCCATAAATTGCCTCCAAGTACCCCGGCGTTCATCACGTGATTCCTTAAAATTGATCAGTTTTAATACAAACTCCGAGCAATATTTGCTCACAAGGATATTTAGTTTTCTGTGTCTTAGTAGGCACAAAAATATCAATTTGAAAAAAACCCGTATCAGGAATCTTTTTTCTGCTTTTTTCTCTTTTTAATGAAAATTGAATTTAGTGCGACAAGAACAGATCTATTCTATACATAACTATCCTGTTTTTTGTAAGATGAAACAACTTCAAAATTTCCTAGAACTTTTTTTAGTAGCACAAATACCTGAAACTATAATTTAAATGATACTAAATTTGAATCAAATGGCTACTTCATAATTTTTAGCGAATTCTTCCTCTCTTTTCCTTTTTTCTGCAGCCGCAAGCATTTCCTCTGCTATCCTTCGTCTGAAATATTTCCACAGTTGATTTTTATCCCACAAGCAGCAAGGCAGGTAAGATAAGTTAGTTAAACTTCAAGAAGACGCATTCACTGTTCAGCATACTTTAAAATTGCATTAACATCATGAATAACTATACTGGATATAGAAATTGATCAGTGCACTCCATAAATGACATACTCCAAACTAATAAAAAATAAAACACATTATGAAAAAATGAACTGACTTCTCGTCATTTGCCCTATCTTCCAACATTTTCCGTTTTTTTTCACGATCAGCAAATACCTGAACAGAAGCCATTACTGCAGAAAACACAAATATAGAAAAAAGTAAAAAATTATAAATCCGGCTACAAATGAAACTCATCATTTTCGAAACAATCAAACAACAAATTTTACTAGCTGACAAAAAATTATTTCATTGCGTCATAAAACTTCGTTTTACATTTTACATTATCCAAAAAACTGAAGAACAATAGATATGCACTTTTTTGTGTTGCAAATATCGAAAAAGACAGGCGTGACACGCCAGTGATCTTCGAAAACAAAATAGACGGCAAACCTTCGTGACTACTACCCAAAGTGCTTTATTGTATGCAGCTGGTTCATCTTCGGGTATTTTATCGCCTTGGCCATTCTTCTTTTGTTTACGCCTTTTTTCGCTCATCTGTAAGTGCTACTGTTTGCATGATTTGTTGTTGTTGTTGTAATTAGCAAAACTAAACTAACCTTCAGGAGGATATAAGTATAATCTCTGACTATACTTTCAATAACATGTGAACAACAACACTGATAGAAAAAATCAAAATACGTTTCTCAACTGATCAGAAAAGTTCAATTTTTTATGCAGTGTAAATAAAACTTTGCATGAAAAAATGTAATTGTGAATGCAATGTAGACAAACCTTACAGCCCACATTATGAAACTTCGCAATTTCAGCTTTTAAATATTTAAAATGTAACAATAGCAAAAACTAAGCTTTAAATAAAATTCTTCATTTCGTATACACCTGTATATTTATTGGAAATATCAGTAATAATTGTAATTACGAACATATTTGAAATGCAATCAAGAAATAAGGTCTCAGTAATTAATGAATTCCGATCTTAATTAATTGAAAAATGATCGAAGCTCCTGAAAGACATAAACTTACAATAATTGCTAGACGCGCTCTTGCTTCTGTATAGGTTTCCCGACATTTCGCCAATTCATCTGGATCTTCGATCATTTTCATAGCCTTTTTCACCACTGAAATCATGTCATCTATTGTAGCACAGTTATCATAATAATCTCATTTGCTAAGTAAAGATTTTTTATATTTGATTTGTTCGGCAAAAAATTCTGAGATCCGATTTATTGGATAAAAAAGAAATTTGCCTAAAATAATTTAGCTAACTTTTCGGGAAACTTACCGTCAATGGTATACGAGAGTTCTAAATGAATCAGAAACAAGTGCGAAGTTGAAATTTATCATTTCTCAACATAGTCGAGAAAAGGGAAGGAAAGTGGAAATCCCACGAATGTAATTACATGAGCTGTTAAATTCAAAAGTTTTGGCTTAAAGTTTCAAAAAATAAATTTTCATACCATCGAATGCACGTTCAGCTCTTTCACGATCATCCGTGTTCTTGTCCGGGTGAATAAGCAAGGAAAGCTGCAAAATTCAGCACAAAAGGAAAATTGAAATTAAAATTTCGAAGGATTCAAAAGCTTCGGAAGAGAAAGTTTTGTAAATCAAAGAATAATGTAAAAAAATTAGGTATGTCATGCATTTTTCGAAAATCTTATCCTCTGATGAAAAAATCGCTACCTTTTTGTACTTTTTCCTGGCCGTTTCAACATCTGTATCTGCATCAATTTGTAAAACCTAAAGAAAAAAGTACATGTGATTTAGCATAAAAGTTCTTGATTCAATAATTTATTTGCATTTAATTCAGCAGAACCCGCTGATTATCATGTCTTTGCAGTGATTCCGTTCATTTTATATCAGAATCTGCATACAGTGTTGTTCTTAATGAACGGCTGCCAAACTATCTAGTCTCTTTTACCAGTAAATAGAGCTATTAATGATTTGAACCACATGATATGTAATAGATCAAGCAGTGATGTCAAACAGGTTCTTTTTTTCCAAAAACATGCATACGATAATCAACCCGCTAATTGCTCCACTATGAAAAAATACTTAGATCAAATGATGTGAGAATTTCCAGATAATCTAATTAATTAATGTAACGTACACTCGTAATCATAAACTATCACCTCAAACGGATTTAAATTCAGGTAAGTGGAGCCGGGACGTAATAAACGATCAATTTGTTGCTTTGATGTTAATACCGAATCTCTCTTCTCGGTTTCTTTCAACTAAAACAATATTCCTTTAGACTGACAGATTAAAAAAGTTATATTTTCGATTTTTGTTACTTTTCAAAAAAATCAGATTAGACTTTAGAAAGTACAGGAAAATCCGACTAACATCACTATAAAATCGTTCAAAATCGGATGGATCCCCCATGATGTATCAGCGCACCATTGACAAATTCCACGTACCGTTTATGTGAACCTTTGTATCTTGGATGAGTTAATAAAATAAAAAGACAAACAGTGGAGTATTCTCACCGATTTCAAAACGTTTATCTACTGAAATCTTTAAGGCTTGTCAATTATACAGAACAAGCCACAGTACCCAAGGAACTTTAGTTAGAAGACCGAATTAGTTCTACCGAAACCCCAATTAAGTCTAACTAGAAGTGTTATTAATGTCGTAAAGCCAACAATTTGGAGAAACAAACTTAACCATAACATTCGGGGAAAGTGAGACTGACACAGTCCCGACAACACCCAATCATTTCGGCTAGTTTATATATATTAGTAAGTCAGACCGGATCATGCATCTCGTGCTGGCAATATATCCGGAATGAAACCACTTCGATAAAAGTCAGGAAACTTCTCAGAAATTCTTTATTTAATAAAAGTTCAGAAATTTACAAATGATGTCAAATGCTATTATATGCTCTCAAAATAGAACGAAATATTTAGGACTAGCAGTGATGATTTATGTGGTAATTTAAACCAAATCAAAACTATTACGACCCCGACTCTCAATATACCAATTCAGAAAATTGTGAAAACAAACTGCATGAGACGATATTAATGAGCACAGAAGAAACGGACAACTCTCAAAAAATAGATTGTAATTGTAGCAGAAGAATCAAATAAAAATTAGAATGAAATCTCAGAAATTGAGATTTCTTTAAATTACCTCATACTGAAAAAAAACAAGCATTAACTAGGGTGTAATAATATTATAGGCAGCATCACCACTGAGATCAATTGATATCTTCCGAATTGAACAGAACTGTCGGTAGCGCACCTTAAAAAATCTAACTGATCACAAACTATTTCAATTTACGTAAAGTATTTCATTTATTTGAGGCATTACTTCGACCTATTTACATGGAGCACGAAAAATCTTGGTCCCTTCAAACAGCAGAGATAATAATGCCTACAGGAAAGCACTGTTTCTCATCCAACAGCAGTCAGAATCTTCGATGTGAAATAAAGAGGTATGATATGTAGTAATGTCAAGTATGTAATTGAGCTTAATATGTAAATGGGCCAAGTAACAGAGCCAAACCATTAAGCAAACCGCACCGAATGCCATAAATTAAGTGGTCTGTAACTTATGAAGATGTGTAAGAATGAATATGTAACTAACTAACTCCGGCCATATCAAACATCCTTTTTGATGCAATCGTGTTCACTTTTTTCGGCTTCTCTCTTTGAAACACTACTTCACTTATACCAGCCTGCAATTCTCTTATTCTTCATTTTAAAATATTCGTAATCTAATTATGGATTATCTGAGAACCAAGCAATTAAATAAGGAAATAATCATGAATATTATCAGGTTTCTCTCAGAAGTTTTACATATTCTATCCAAACAAAGTTTTACCTGTATAATAAGTTTAGCACATTCATTGCATGGAAATAGGACAGTGTAAATTGTTGAACCTTTAATTGAACCCACAATCTTATTCAATATTGCATTCATCTCTGCATGGCATACATAAGCGGATTTATTTTCCAAAAAATTCTCAGAACCTTTGCTCCATGGCAGTATATCGTCTGAGCAACCGGTGGGCATTCCATTATATCCGGAACCAACAATCCGTTTGTCTTGGTTGACAATTACAGCTCCAACCTAAAATCGCCGCTCTTAAAGACATATAATCATTGAACTTCAGCGGTTATTTTCATTATAAAAGCAAATGATTTCCTAATAAAATCTAGGTACAGTAGCAATTAAAAGATATGCTTTTATAGCTTCTCCTTCTACATGGAAAAAATAATACCACAGAGACAATCTGTAAGAAAAACAAAGTAAAAAAACAAAAAAAAAGAAAAAAATGAAAGAATCCATAGCAAAGTTACAAAGAAAAGATAATCATTACGTTTGACAGTACGGCTGCGGTTGTATGTATCTGACTACTCCTCAATCGTTCAAAAGTTAGGATTTCATAACAATAAAATGAAAGTAAAAAAATGAAACAGAGTATTTGGATGATAAATATACCTGCGTTACCGGATCTTTACTCCGCAGTGCAGCCATATGTGCTACACCCATAAAGTATTCTTCCCAGGAAAGGTAATCATTACGTTTGGTAGTACGGTTGCAAATCACATTATCAGACTGATGACCACTAAAAAAGATTTCGGAAGAATGTACCTAACCAGAGAAGACGGTTGAACTTTCCCGAAATAATATAGCTGGCAAATTCCCGGATGGAAAGCAAGTGTCACGGATGCAATGACGGAGAACGCTTTCTGATCCATAAGAAGAATATCCAGTCATCCAATAAAGTTGTTATCTGTATATTTGATATCGTCCATTACATGTTTATTACTTATTAATATTTTTTCGTTGTATACTCAGTGCTACCTATTATCCAACATTTCAAAGCACTCGATCTTTAACTAGTTAAAGACGGGATAAATCCTTTCGGCTAATTTATATTACTCCAATAATCCCCGGAATACTTGGTCTTTAAAAAAATTAACTTTTTTCCTAACTTATAACTGAAGCTTCCGAAGACATGTTTTTCCATACCTTCAACTATCACTTACATTCCGCCACAGACTGCGCCTTACAATATCCAGGTAAAATATATGTTCAGATAAACCTAATGGTAAGTAACGAACTTGCTAAGTGAATGATGAGTAACGCTGATGACACAATGTCAAAAGTGTATATATATTAAATATATAACGTCTTAGCGTAGAAAAAGAAACAGAACGTTGTGGAAAAACTTACTTGATAGTTGCTGTCACCATACCAGTAAATTCCCCTCGTTCATTATCGATGGACTTAATAACTGGCTGTTCCATTTTGCTAATTTCGGAAAAACTCTAAGAGAAGATAAATCCAAACCACAGTTGACAGAATTCACGCAAACTTAAAATACACCAATCCTGAATCGATAATACTTTCAATTTCACGCAGCCTCATGATGAAATTAAACGGTTCACGTTTCCAATATTTATAGCATTGAATCTTGACTGGCAGAAAAACAATTCTAACGCATCACAGCTCGAAAGACATTTGTATATGTTGAAGAGGTTTTCGGATGATTGGTTTCATCTAAAATCTAAGTTACAAAATTAATACCACAAAGGTCAACACGTGCATGACGTTTCACGTCCACCTGTGTACGATCACGTCACGTCATTTTCGGTTTACTGAATATTTATCAGGTTTTTTTTTTACCTAACTTGATATTAATCATTCAGTTTTCACACATACTCAGCCATATTACCTATTACATAGCAAATTTACGCTGCAAACAGTTAAAAAAAGAACTTCAAAATTAATGTGAAGTCAAGTTAAAGTATTCACAGGTTAAAGTGAACAAAGGTTTTTTTAGTGTTTTATGGTTTAATTGTTTTATTGTTTAATTGCTTTATTTTTGACGAAATATATGACCGCACTACTGTCTGTACGCTATCTACGCCATTTTCTTACGTGATCCATAAGATGGCCAATGATTGGATTGCAAATATTTGAGAATATGAGTGCTTTATGTTGTGAAGAATAAAAAATTACAAGGTTTAATAACACCACATTATGTGTGACGTGAAAATACGAGATATTTTGGGAGCTTTAATAACACCACTTTACGTGTGACGTGAAAATACGGGATATTTTGGGAGTTTTAATAACACCACTTTACGTGTGACGTGAAAATACGGGATATTTTGGGAGTTTTAATAACACCACTTTACGTGTGACGTTAAAAATACAGGACATTTTGGGAGGCTTTAATAACACCACTTTATGTGACGTGAAAAGTGCAAGATTATTTTGAGAGTCTTAATATTCTTTAGGTGTGACGTGAAAATATGAGGTCATTTTGAGGCCATATTAACAGAATTATGGTCAGCTTTCGCAGTGTTAGCAAATCTCATTTACGTGTTATTTAAATAAATAACGTTTCAATGTTACCATTTTTACATCTCTCCCGTCGTAATTCGCATGTACTCTAAAGAATTACGAAATTACTCATACTTTATAAAGACATCTTACGTGAACAGTAAATAGGTTGACACATCACCTAATCCGAATATGAAGAGAAAAAAAGAGGCATGAAGTTGTCCTTTCCATTTTTAGCTGTCATATGGAATGTTTACATATGTCAAATATTCTATGCATGTAATATTTAAGTATTCGTGTATTCATGTTCCAATACAAATTTCCAATTTATTCTTTTTCTTTTCTCTCTTACTGGAAAATCTCAACACAGTAACAATCAAACATTATATAGTAAATATAGCAAAAATCAAAGTGTACAGTTGAAAAATGATCAAAAAAAAAAGAAAAAAGACGGAAAAGAAAAAAAGGAAAACAATTATTATAACTGTACAGATTAGATCAGATAAAGCAAAAAGAAAAAAAAGGAGGAAAATAGAATAAAAGAAAAAAAGAAATGATATGCTCAAATGATTGATAAAAAGTTAAAATAAAATCAGACAGTAATAATAATCAATAATCAATAATTGATAATAGAGTAATGAAGAGAAGAAGGAAAAAAAGGAAAAATTAAATGAGATTTTGAAAATCGAAGAAAAAAATTAGTAGCATTTTTAATGATTACACGAAGAAAAAAAAGGCAAAGTATTAGAAGAGGAAGTTTTAAAAAAATCAGATCAAGTATTAGTATTTGAATTTTTTTAAATCAAATAAATTTATTGAAATTAATTTATTAGAAATTCAATTATCTAAGTCATTTTTTGTATTTTTCAAAATAATCATCCAAATTTTGTTCAATTACACATTAATTTATTAGGAAAATACAAAATCGACGATGGAAAAATATTTAGCAATTAATTTAATCAATTTAAGCTAAGAATTTTTGAATACTTTTTTCTCTCAGAAAGCATATATTTAAATTTGAAAGGAAAAAAAAAAGTCTTTGGAATAGATAATTGCATTAAGTACACAAATAATTTCGTTTTAAAATTTTCTTTCAAAAATTTTTCAAAAAAAAAAAATTTTTGAAAGCTTAAAAAAAATCAAAAATTGATAATCTATCCAATAAATACAGTAACTTTTTTTAGAATTTCTTTATAATTTGTAATACATACAAATACACACAGACATGAAAAAAAAAATGCAAAAAAAAAAAGCAAAAATTAAGCGATCACAAAGCATTTGAATCACAATTTTGTTTATCAAATAAAAATTAGCAATGTTTGTTTATTTGCTTTGTTTGTTTGTTTGTTTTCTTAGTTTGTTTATTTGTTTGTTTGTAATGAAAAGAAAATAAAAATAAACAAACAACAGGATGCGATAAAAATGATAAAAGTAAAGTAAAGTAAAGTAAAAAAGGCAAGAAGAAAAAGAAGAAGGGAAATTTCAAATTTTTGTATAATATTTCGATATCATTTGTATATTGAAGTATTTGAACAAATTTGTTTATTAGTTTTGTTTGTTTGTAAAGAAAAAAGAGCAAATTTAAATTTATCATTTCATATTTGAAATTCAGAAGAAAATGAAAATATTTTTGTTTGAGAAAAAAAAAAGAAAAAAAAAACTTAATTATAATTTTTAATAGTGCATTGATAATAATCTTCTAAAAATACTATTATTCACATCCGTTCATTTACTTTAAATGTTTCACAAAATAAAAAAGAAATAAAATAAGCTGAAATCATATTTTCCAATTATTTCATTTCAAAATTTCCTTTTCGATTATCATGTTTTGCAGTTCGAATTTTCTTTCCTCTTCTCGTGCAAATTTTACAAACATATTTAAGTAAGGCTAATAATTCGAATTCTCAATGGAAGGATTTATTTTGATTGCATTGAAAAAATAAATAAATAAGCAAATAAATTAAATTGTTAAATTATTCATAGTTAAAACTGATATTTAATATTTAATTGAAATTTAAAACGTGACATTTTCTGGGAATGGCAATTAAAGTGATAAGGCAAAAGCATTCAGCGCATAAGATTAATTTGTTGAAAAGTTTGGAATTAATTATAATTAAATAAATTATTTTGTATTTTATTTATTTAGTAAACATAATTAAGAATACTTGAATAAAGCAGCACCAAAAATCATAATAGTAATGATAACAGTGATAATGATAATAATAATAATATGAAAAGACAAAAGAGAGGAAGAAAGAGAGAGAGAGAGAGAGAAGAAAAAAAAGAAAGGAAGAAAGATTTTGTCACATATGTGATAAAGAAAGAATAGCACTGAAAATAAGCTCTTGAGGAGGACGTTTTTTTGTACTAAATTTTTTTTTTTTGTTTTTCAATTTTTTCAATTCTAGTTTTTCCATAGATATCGTTGGTAATTTATTAATTTAAAATTTAAATTTTTGAATTCTTTGATCAAAAAATAATTTTTTTTTACTTCAAAATTTGCTTTTTTTTTTTAAATTTTCATTCATTTATTTACTGGCAACAAAAAATTGAACAAAATTTATTTGTTGTTTCTTTTTCCTTTTTGTCAAATCAAAAATGAAGAAATTTTTTTGTGACCAATTATAGCTAATAGTTTCGAAAAGTTAAATTCTCAACAATATGACCAATAAAGAAGTGGTCAGTTTGTTTCTTCTTTTTTGTTTTTTGTTTTTTTTCATTTAATATTCCAAAAATTAGCCATTTTAGATCAAATATGGAAAAAAAAAAGAAAAGTTATCCGCGATATCTTGTAAAAACCAAAAATGTTAATTGCTTATAATAAATTAAAATTTTTAAAGCAACAAAAATGAAATACTTTCATTTGTTTGGTTTTTGTTTTTTTTTTCTTTCCCAATTTTATCCTCTATAATAATCCATTGATTTATCATAAAAGACCTGATATTATCACCATCCTGGTATAACTGATTTAATTTCTGATGATTGATACAATCCACGTATCGGTCGATATGTTTCATCCTGAAATATAAAAAATGAAAAAAAAATAAATCTTGGAAAATTGTTTGTTTTTTTTTCAAATTAGCAAATATTTGATTATTTTTTTCCCCTCATATTATTATTTAATAATTTTTTAATATATTACCAAAATTTTCTAAAAAATTAATTTTATAATCGAAAAAAAAACCAAACGAATAAATAAATAAACAAAATGGTTTTTTTTTTGCTAAAAATTTTATTAATTAAAATTGTTCGATAATTTTTATAATTTGTCTGACATATTTATTCAAAATTGGAAGAAATGAGTTAATTTTGATTTTCTTTTTTCCTTTTTTTTTCTTAAATAAACTTAAAAAAGATTAGAATGGATGGATGGATGAATGGATGAATGGGTAAAACGGAAGATGAACGGTTGAAAAATAAAAAATAAAAAATAAAAGTAAAAGTAAAGAAGTTTGTAAGGATAATATATCGTTCCGATCGCGAAGACATTGTTTGTTGGAATAGCTTTGAGTGACAAGGTTAGCCGTTTCCGGTATTCCCAACAGAATATCATGAAGATTTAAGCAATAACTATTCCGTTCATCCATTCAACCCAACCACTCATCAATTTCATTCATTCATTCATTCATTCATTCATTCATTCACTCATTCACTCATTCATTCATTCATTTATGCAGCCACTCATCCATCTATCTATCTATCTATCTACCTAATATTTATCTACTTATCAGTCCTTTAATCAATTGATCATTCTTTTTTTCTTCCCTTTCTTTCAGTTCCATTAACAATAATTTTCCACCATTTATAATTTTCTCCTCGTCATCCAAGGAATAATTCAATTCTTATGGATATGAAATCAATAACTTAAAAAATCATAAATCGAAATCACGTTTGATCGATTCCCGGATTCTCATCGAACAATTCTTTTTTTTTATTCCAATCAATTTAATTCATATTTTCCGAAATGTTGAAAGAAATTTTCAAAATTTTTATCAGATTTTTTTCCGTTCCCTCTCTTCTTTTCTTCATTTTTTTCTTTTTTTGATGAATTAAAATTTATAATTCACTACCTTTAATTACTGTATCTTTTTGCAATTTCAATAAACTATTCCGGATGTGACAATTTACCCGGTTACAAAAATTTTTTGACAACTTACATCATTTATGATTATTATTTCATTATTCAAGTTAAAAAAAAAAAACAAATAGATTGAAACTATGAATAGTACCATAAAAAATATAAATAGTATCATTTAAATTAGTTCAAAACTGTCAAAATACTGAAAGATAAATAATCTTTGGTAATAATTGCAATATAGCAACAGTAGGAGAGGAAAAAAAAATCAGGTTGAAATATTTCAGTAATTCGGAACATTTTTAATACTGAAATATTTCAATAGGAACAGAAATTATCCTCATTTATTTCAGTCAGAAGTACCTTAAAATATTTCAATAGGTCTCATCCTGAAATACTTCAACAAGTTTTGTCCTGAACTAATTAACTTTCAACAGTAATGAGAAACCTGTGCTGCAAGTGGCATATTTGGTGAACTATGTGGAGGTCGTAAACTTTCTTCAAGGAATGTATTATCTGAAAATAAATTATGACAAAATTAAATAAAATAATTTTCATCCAAAACTATATTATTTATTTTACGTATTTATTGCTATTATCCAATTAAAAATTCATCCAAAATATCATTGTTAAGAATGTGTAATTAATTAGTCAATTAATTAATTAATTAGCTGATTAATGATTTATCATCTAAAGGGTATATACGGCTGTTGCTTTTTATACGATAAAGTAAATAATTTCTGTAAATTATTTCATATTAATTGTTTTAAACTTACCGGAGTTGGATTGATCAACATGTACCGGTTGTGCTTCCGATGGCATAATAAATGACGGATGTGGTAATGCTGTTGATAGTGTACCATCCGGACCGGTTGTTCCGTAACCCTCACAAAAAAATGATAGTGGTAATTGACCATAAAATCCATCATTATTACCACCTGAAATAAAAAAAAGGATTTTTGAACATACGGTAACTGATTAATTAACAGTTCTTAAAAAAAAATAAAAACAATAAT